TCAAAAGCAGTCAGAATCTTTAAGTTGAATTCTCTGTTCTGTTATTTTGTCAAGTCCTATAACCTCTCTGCCCTGGTGGTTGTGTTACAATCTTTCTGGAGATAGTATTTTCTTCACTTATTCGTGTGTGTGTGTGTGTGTGTGTGTGTGTGTGTGTGTGTTGCTGGGGATTGAACCCAAGGCCTTGTGCCTGCAAGGGAAGCACTCTACCAAATGAACTATATCCCCAGCCCTCTTCATTTACTCTCTAGTATTCAACAAACATTTGTGAAGTAACACTTAGCCTTGGGTGGAACTAACCTATTCTCTTAAAGATGACTTAATTTAAAACTATTGCCCAACTTGCAACATTTTCATATATTTAAAATTATAACTTGCTATGTCACAATGGCTGGGGTGAACCAATAACAAGAGCATCCAGAACAAAAATTACTGTAAAAATTGGCAATTTTTGGATGAAATAGAATAGTTGGATTCTGTTATTCCGTTTCTAAAGTGGCTCATTAATAGTAGAGTGGCTGGCACATTACTGTTAGTCATTAAAATATTTGTAGAATGAATAAATTAAGGCAGGGATATTGTTTGTTTGATTCACATCTATATACCCAGCCCTTTGAGTGATGTGTGGCACATAAAAAGTATTTAAATGTTGTGGGATGAAGAAATAAATAACAAATTACATTTATTTATTCCACAATAACTATCTTGTGATTACATTTCAACTTGATGTGCAGGTTTAATATTAAACTCTCTATTGCTACTTGAGAAGACAGGTTTAGTTTCAAGCTAGGGCAGTGTGACTTACCCATTGGAATGTAAACTCCATTAAGTAGAACTTTGAGTGAGTTGTTTCTTAACACTTAATAAACATGCATTAAAAGAGTGAATTGTTTTGCAATGAACATGGATAACAGGTAACATATATTCTAAAAATAAATAAAAACAAAAGCTACTATGCACAAGAAACCCAAGTTTTTCTACTGTAGTAAAACATCTTTGCTACCACCATCTTGGTATATTTTAACTCAGGATTCCCAAGTTTTTGAGAGGATGGTACCACACCTGACGTCTGTGCAACTGGGCTAGCACCTCTCATAAATTTTTAATGCAATTTTTATGAGTTTTCTCAGTTTTAACCACAATCCATGTGGGGGGTGTATAAATTTAAAACAAACAAAAAATTGTCATTCAGGAATGAAAAATAAATGTAATTTGAAATCAATATTTATGAAGTTGTGATTAATTGACTGATGACCAAATGATTACAAAACGTCTGTCTGAAACATCTACTCAAATTTATTAGCTTTGAYCAAAAAAATTAAAAAACAATCTGAACTGGGTCAATGAAAGAATAATGCATTCCTAATCAATTTTTAATAGCACTTAAGATTTTATATTTTTTTTAAACTTGCTTTTAAATAATTTATCATTAAAATGAATCTGATTTAAACAAGGGGTAAAAGGTGTTCCACAGCTAGTTGATGGTTTTCTTAGCAAAGAAATTCAATTATGACTGACTTTTTATTACTGAACTACTTTATTAATAATAATACATCTTGCACTTACATGAAGGCATTGGGCCAACAATCTGAGAGAATCCATCAAGTGTGATCTAGGATTTAACTTCACTTCTAACTATTATCCAGTGGTTTACCTTATCCTTGCCTCAATTTCCTCATATATAAAAAGAGGGACTTCATGATGACCCCCCCAAAGCCTCTGTAGATCTACAGATGTATAAAAAATAGTTTAGGAGGCCTTAGCCTATTCTGGATGTCATAGGTAACTGAATTCCTCCAGTCACAGGATTTCTCATATGAGGCTGTTAAGAAGGGRAAATAGAAATCAAGCAGAAAGTCAATGAGCCATGTGACCTTTATCTTCCTTTTAGAGTAATTATAGCATCATCACACTATTTGAGCTAAACAATGTCTATTTAGAACATGATTTATCAAAAAACTAGGAAATCCCCTTCATAAAATAGAGAGAAGAGATAGTTCTTGATCTTGACTCACTTGCATTATTAAAAGCAAAGCCCAGAAAATGACTTGGAATGGGGCCGGGGTTGTGGCTCAGCGGTAGAGCATTCGCCTAGCACGTGTGAGGCACTGGGTTTGATCCTCAGCACCACATAAAAATGAATAAATAAAGGTATTATGTCCAACTACAACTAAAAAATAAATATTAAAAAAAGAAAATAACCTGGAATCAATCTGGACCTTGAGAGAGTCCTGATCAACATGTATTGCTAGCAATATTATTTGTGTGTGTATGTGTGTGTGTGTGTGTGTGTGTGTGTGTGTGTGTGTTGGTATCTATCCACAAAGCATAAATATACAAAGTGTCTATGTTGCAGTATGATTATATTTGTGCTAATGCATATAGTAACATATTAACTAAAATGTTTGCCAGGACATGTGCTAGAATGTTAATAGTGAACACCACAAAGATTTAGAGAGATGTGGCAAAAGAATAAAGGAAATTTTGCTTAATATTTGATATATTTTTAAAATCTTAATTTTTTAAAAAATTAGTCTATTATTTTTATAATTCTCAAGAGTAACATGGTCTTCTCTTTTGAGGTAAAAACAAGTAAACATGTTTAACATAAAACAGCTTGGGCTTATAAAAAAAGTAGGCKATGGCTAAGGCTGTTTGTGGAATATTCACTTAGTACTAGATACTGGATAAATTAGATGTAATCCCTAGCCTGGAGAAACATAGTCTGTTGTGGTGGTAAACACATAATCAACTATAATAGAATGTGATCAGCATAGAAATAGTTGTATGGTCAGAGCACTAAAACAGCACTATGATAAACTATGATAACAGTAATAAATGTGAAAGAAGATGTTGGAAATAGTCTAGGTTTTAATTTTCTACTTAAAATGGAAGTAATAATGTGTTAAATTGACCTTTGTTACTAGATATTGACACCAATCACAGGGATAATACATAAATTAACTTGCCTGGTAAGTGAAGRAAAAGTCTTTTTAAAAAKAAGTGTCTTCAATGTGTCTTTCTGATATATTGTTTCCAAGGATGGATGTCAGAGGCTGAATATTCTTACTCCTATGCCCCATTCAGAAGCTGTAGAAGGAGGCCCTGAAATATCATGTTAACAAGCCTAGGCAAAAGAAAACGTTAAGATGGGAAAAAGATGAAACCAGAATGACAGTAGGTGATGATCTGGAGCTTCAYAGCCAGAGACTTGAAAGATAAATTAGCAGAACATGAGAATTCTGGACTTCATATAAATATGACTTTTTAAGGAAATCAMCAAATTGGATGACTTATGCCAGACATTCTGAAAAAGTTTACATTAAACAGAATCAGTATGATTATTTTGTTCAGCTCTCCAATTGCAAGCATATTATGGTCTCTGACTGYTAGAGAATAAAGTTGCTAAACTATTTGAAAGAACTCTCACTGCCACTTGTAAGCCATTTTGAGATAGATTTGGGATTCTTCAAGTGAACTACTATCTGTTCCCATTGCACTATTGCCTGGCCCTTTTTATACACATTATACTAAGCATAAATTGCCCTCATTTAAAACACACACACACACACACACACACACACACGTAAAACACTAAGAGGCAAAGATTAAATAAGTTGCCTAAGATCACAGGAAGTTGTTGAGGGCAGAGATTTCTATTTCAGTTGTCTAGGTCCATAAATCCTTACTCTTAACCCCGAGGCTGGTTTTTGCTATGTATTGTCTCCTTTTCAGAAAGATTAATAAAATATGTTCCTTTAATATTGTTTCTAGGGCTGGGGCTGTAGCTCAGTGGCAGAGCACTTGCCTAGCATGAGTGAGGCACTCAGTTTGATCCTCAGCACCACATACAAATAAACAAATAAAATAAAGGCATCTGTAAAAAAAAAAAAAAAAGTTTCTAAATCTCCCAACTCACAGATTATACTTGTTTGCATAATACATCACATCAGCTCTTCTTCACTTAAATCAGGTACAGTTAAATTCCAAATATGTTAAAATTTAAGATTCATTGAGAAACTTTTAAGTTTTTTTTTCTTTTTTACAGTTGGGAAATGCTAATTTATAACCACAGAAATTCTTCCATGGAGTTCCACAAGAAGGTGGTACACTTCACATCCAAGGATGCACTTGAAAGAGTTAAAATGCATTGCACAAGATCATAGCTCACACCATTTGCAGCTTTCTCACTTATGGATGTGAATGAGGCTCCTGGATGGAATCCTTAAAACTACTTTTGGTAGAAATCACAGAAGGGGGGGCTGGGGATGTGGCTCAAGCAGTAGCGCGCTGGCCTGGCATGCGTGCGGCCCGGGTTCGATCCTCAGCACCACATACCAACAAAGATGTTGTGTCCGCTGAGAACTAAAAAAATAAATAAATATTAAAAAAAAAAAAAAAAAGAAATCACAGAAGGGTCAACAGTGAGAGTCTTGTCTTCAAGGAGAGYTGAGATTAACGTATCCAGATTATTTCTGGATACAGAAGATAAGGRGAAAAATTACTGTTTTTAAAGCAAATTATCATGCCCCCTTGGAAGCAAGCACATGGTATCACTTCAGAATGGAAAAGGAACTGAAAGGGGTGGAAAAGTTGTTCGGGAAACTTAAAATGTATAGATAACGTCTTTTTTTTATTCGAGTCTCTCGACTGCGTCCAGTTTATTGTGAGGGGTTTCATCTTCAAGCAATTTCCCCCATCCCCATAAAACTCTCCGGGGAAAAAATCTGGGGAGTTAAAATCGCTAATCCATACTGCCTTCTACTATTACACTTGCCCTTAAACTTTCAAGATCGTCGATACGTGTAGAAACACACTTTTTCTTCTCATTCTTAGGAATCTTGCAGCACCTGAACTGGGGGAAGTTTTTCTTTACCTTTTAATGAAACGGAAAAAGCCCGGGCGAAAGCGCGTTTTCGTTTCCTCTCCCGGGCAGGCCCTGCCGGGCCGCCGTAGCCGGCCTCGCGCGTCCTTGGTGGTGGTGAGGAGCCGCTGTCGGCGGGACTTCCGTGTTGGCGGGATTCTGAACGCTGCCATGGCTCAGACCGTGCAGAACGTTACATTGTCTCTCACTCTGCCCATCACGTGCCACATTTGCTTGGGGAAGGTAAAGGTTSATTCCGGGCACAGCTACGAAACGCGGTTGGGTATGAAGTGCCCTCCGGCGCCGAGAGCGGTCTCGATGCCGGGCGGGGATGGGGCGTGAGGCGCCGCGCTGGGAGAAGACGCTCACCCGCGTTCTCCTCACGCGGCGGGAGGCCGTGTCCCGGGGCCCAGCGGAGCATGCGGTGATGAGTGGGTTCCTCTGGAAGCCTTGTAAAGGGGATGACAGCGTCCCGGGGCCAGGCAGTGAGGCTGCACYGCGCTTGTGGCCACCGCCGGAGGCCTCACTGGGGCCGACGCCGGCCTCGGAGGGGCCGCAGCGGAATTGCTCCGCTGTGGCATTTTAGCCCCTTTTGCAACCCCGAGTGGAGAATGACCCGTGAAAGCACATTTCCTCGTAGCCTCACCTCAGGTTTCTGAGACCCCTGTACAACCGGAGTGTCTGTGCTCCGGGGCCTGCTGTGCTATTTGGAGAATGTGGTCCATTTTAAGGTCCTTTTCTTATTCTGGCCTCCAGGTTGGTCTTTGCTCCGGGGTCAGAATATGAAAAGTAAATAGTTGATGTCCCTGGGTGGTATTTAAAATAAGAGGGATGGCCTTTAACTCCTCTAGGGGATCCTTGGCCAGATAGAATCCTCTCTCTTTGTCATGCAGTAGGTGCCTAATGTATTTGTGAAACTGTGGGAGAAGGTACTTACGAATTAGAAACGGAGTTTTGAATGTTCTCAGGCCTGGGTCTCCCCTCTCTTTTTCGTTTTTGCATCCCATTCGGATTTTTAAAGAACCTTTTTTTTTTTYTTTTTTTTTTTTTTTTTTTTT